ACTGGAAAAAGAAAAACAAATGAGGCCCAAAGTCAGTAGAAGGAGGGACATAATAAAGATCAGAGAATAACTGAAATTGAGAAGAATAAACCAATAGAAAAAATTAATGAAACCAAGAGCTGGTTCTTTGAGAAAATAAACAAAATAGATAAAACCCTAGCTAGACTTATTAGGAAAAAAACAGAATCAGAAATGAGAAAGGAAAAAAATCACTATGGACACCATAGAAATACAAAGAATTATTAGAGAAGGCTATGAAAAACTGTATGCTGACAAACTGGATAACCTAGAAGAAATAGACAACTTTCTAGAAAAATATAACCTTCCAAGACTGACCAAGGAAGAAACAGAAAATCTGAACAGAACAATTACCACAATGAAATTGAATTGGTAATCAAGAAACTACCCAAGAACAAAACACCTGGACCAGATAGATTAATTGCTGAATTTTATCAGACATTTAGAGAAGACATTACACCCATTATCCTTGAAGTTTTCCAAAAAATAGAAGAGGAGGAAATACTTCAAAACTCATGCTAAGAAGCCAGCATAACTCTAATACCAAAACCAGGTAAAGACACCACAAAAAAAGAAAACTACACACCACCAATATCCCTGATGAACATTTATGCAAAAACACTCAACAAAATATTAGCAAACTGAATTCAAAAATACATCAAGAAGATCATAGACAATGATCAAGTGGGACTGATCTCAGATATGCAATGATGGTACAACATTAGAAAATCCATCAGTATCATCCACCATATTAACAAAAAGAAGGACAAAAACCACATGATCATCTCCATAGATGCTGAAAAAGCATTTGACAAAATTCAACATCCATTCACGATAAAAACTCTCAACAAAATGGGTATAGAGGGTAAGTACCTCAACATAATAAAGGCCACATATGACAAACCCACAGTCAACATCATACTTAACAGTGAGGCCCTAGCCATTGCAATTAGACAACACAAAGAAATAAAAGGCATCCAGATTGGTAAGGAAGAAGTCAAACTGTCACTGTTTGCAGAATACATGATATTGTATATAAAAAACCCTAAAGAATTCAAGAAACCACTACAAAATTATTAGATTTAATGTCTGAATTCAGCAAAGTTGCAGGATACAAAGTTAATGCGCAGGAATCTATTGCATTCCTATACACTAACGATGAACTAGCAGAAAGAGATATCAAGAAAACAATTCCATTCACAATTGCATCAAAAAGAATAAAATACCTAGGAATAAACCTAACCAAGGGAGTGAAAGACCTATACCCTGAAAACTACAAGACACTCATGAAAGAAATTACAGAAGATACCAACAAATGGAAATACATCCTGTGCTCATGGATAGGAAGAAATAATATTGTCAAAATGGTCATCCTGCCTAAAGCAATATACAGATTCAAAGCAATCCCTATCAAAATACCAACAGCATTCTTCAATGAACTAAAGCAAATAGTTCTAAAATTCATATGGAACCACAAAAGACCCTGAATAGTCAAAGCAATCCTGAGAAAGAAGAATAAAGCAGGGGGAATTATGCTCTCTGACTTCAAGCTCTACTACAAAGCCACAGTAATTTGGCACAGGAACAGACCCATAGACCAGTGGAATAGACTAGAGAGCCCAGATATAAACCCAAGCATACATGGTCAATTAATATATGATAAAGGAGCCATGGACATGCAATGGGGAAATGACAGCCTCTTCAACAGCTGGTGTTGGCAAAACTGTACATCTACATGTAAAAGAATGAAACTGAATTACTGCCTAACTCCATACACAAAAGTAAACTCAAAATGGATCAAAGACCTGAATGTAAGTCACAAAACCATAAAGCTCTTTGAAAAAAACATGGCAAAGCTCTCTTGAATATAAACATGAACAACTTCTTCATGAACATATCTCCCCGGGCAAGGGAAACAAAGGTAAAAATGAACAAGTGAGACTATATCAAACTAAAAAGTTTCTTTACAGCAAAGGACATCATCAGTAGAATGAAAAGGCATCCTACAGTTTGGGAGAATAAATTCATAAATGTCATATCCAATAAGGAGTTGACATCTAAAACATATAAAGAGCTCACATGCTTCAACAAACAAAAAAACAAATAATCCAATTAAAAAATAGGCTGAGGATCTGAACAGACACTTCTCCAAAGAAGAAATTCAGATGGCCAACAGACAAATGAAAAGATGTTCCACATCGCTAATTATCAGAGAAATATAAATTAAAACCACAATGAGATATCACCTCACACCAGTTAGGATGGCCAACATCCAAAAGACAAACAACAGCAAATGTTGGCAAGGATGTGGAGTAAGGGGAACCCTCCTACACTGTTGGTGGGAATGTAAACTAGTTCAACCATTGTGGAAATCAGTATGGAGGTCCCTCAAAAATCTCAAAGTAGAAATACCATTTGACCCAGGAATTTCACTCCTAGGAATTTACCGTACAGATGCAGGAACCCAGTCTCAAAAAGACATATGCAACCCTATGTTTATCACAGCACTATTTACAATAGCCAAGAAATGGAAGCAACCTAAGTGTCCATCAGTAGATGAATGGATAAAGAAGAGGTGGTACATATACACAATGGAATATTATTCAGGCATAAGAAGAAAACGAATCCTGCCATTTGCAACAACATGGATGGAACAACATAGAGGGTATTATGGTCAGTGAAATAATCCAGGCAGAAAAAGACAAGTACCAAATGATTTCCCTCATTTGTGGAGTATAAGAAAAAAGCAAAAACTGAAGGAACAAAACAGCAGCAGACTCACAGAACCCAAGAATGGACTAACAGTTACCAAAGGGAAAGAGACTGGGGAGAATGGGTGGGGAGGGAGGGATAAGGGGACTAAGAGGCATTATGATTAGCACACCTAATGTAAAGAGGGGCATGGGGAAGGCAATATAGCACAGAGAAGACAAGTAGTTATTCTATAGCATCTTACTACGCTGATGGACAGTGACTGTGACAGGTTATGTGTTGGGGACTTGATAATGGGGGGAATCTAGTAACCACAATGTATGTAGCTCATGTAATTATATATTAATTATACCAAAAAGTAAATGAATAAGTCTAGGTCTCACACTCCAAGAGGGCTCACACTCCAAGAGGGCTAACCAAAGATAATATGGTACCTGATGGTGGTGCTCACTAACCGCCTCACTTTTAAATTTACTCAAAAAATAGATGGGGATGGAGATGAACAGCCAGAACCTGAAAATTATCTTCTTGATACTGGCCTTACAAAAACTGACTAAGCTTGCCATGTGGCAGCCCTCTAAGACAGGGAAGGTGACAATATTGATGCCCTAGTTACCAGTTTTCAGTATTTCTCTCCCACCCAGCTCATTGGAGAACTGAGCCAATTCTTGCATTTTCAAACATATTACTCTAAGGAGAAATGCTTGTCCTTGAGGGAATAAAATAAACTATGAGCCACTTCGGGTTTGACGCAGTTCTTACTAACATATCTTGTGTGTCTCATTTTAGATTCTCATCTTTCTCTGCTTTTCCATTTTCTTTTCCTGTTGCTTCCACTTCTTCAGGGTTATCACATTAAATTTCCCTTCTGCAATTAATTGCACATTGCCACAGAGTCTCAGAAAGAAAACAGACATCAACAATCTGACAAGGTAATAAACATAGAAAATGATGTTCATATCATTGTTTTACACAGCTAGATTTTTGTTTGTTGTCTATAAAATCATGAGACAACATTCTCAAAATGAGAACTATTTCTGCAATGGAGTCTGATTTTGCACCAGAGACAAGGTGAAATACAGTTTTGGGCTCTTGACAAGGTAAAACTTTGCACATAATGCTTTTTTTAAGCAGATTATTTAAGATTTCTCACTAGTCAGATGTGAGGCAGAGAAAATGGCCATGGTGGGAATAATGGTGCAGATGTTCAGTTTAGCGCTGTCCAGCCCACTGTCCATTGTGTTTCCATAAACACAGGCTTTAGTGGAATCTGGAGAAGTAAAAGGCATGCCTTAAATTTTTAAATAGAGTGACCAAATCCTTCCTCATTTGATTGAGGACTGCATTTTCCATTTTATTCTCACCAAGACCTTCAAAAAAAACCAGATTAAGAAGAAATAAGTCACCTTTGACATCAATCTAGGTATCTTTTCCTTACAACAATGAGCTTAAACCATTTCTTTACATTTGTACATGTTTGTTTTCCAGGTAAGAGCCTCCATGTGAGAAGTCTGAGGTCAGAAGGGTCATAATCTATTTTGTTTGATCAAAAATCTCTAAAGTGCCAAATACACTCTATTTTACTTTAGTATTGTAAAACAGGTTTGTTAACAGCCTGAGGAAAAAAGCATAAGGATATTTCACTATAGGTGGAAGAACATTTAGAGATCTTTAGGTTAGAGAAAACAAGTTATTATGAAAACATTTTGCTTCCATCTGTATGTGAAGCGGCCACTACTTAAAACAATCCATCAATACTGGAAAATATATTTGCAGCTTATTAAAATTACTTGTTTTTCAACAGTCACTTCATTGGGTTTTTTTTAATTTAAATGTACAGATATAAGCATGTGTGTGAATTTTAATGTTTCCATTATTTTGTAACTCACAACAAAAATAATGATAATGCTAGGCTTTATGTGCATTATGATTTCATCTAGGGGAAGAACTTGACTTTATTAAAGAAAACACTCTTAGAATTCAAGTTCTACTGAAGGAAAAATTTTTGTTTAACAAAATACAGCTAGCCACAGTGTATCCAATCATTACACATGGCTTCCAATACAACTAAACACAAGATACAAAATAATCTGAATAACCTCTTAAGATTCCTCAGTGTGATTTGACCTATATTTTGAGTATCTTTCTATCGCAACAACTATATCCATCAGAGAACCAAACTATACCTTAACAGAAATTTTTTTCTGTTAACCTCACCTTTAACAACAAAATAAAGAAATACAAATATCATCAAAAGCTTGATGACTTACCATAAATGCCTGTAGAGATGCAGGGAAATGCCTGTGAATAAACCACAAGAATAACAATAAATTTTAAAGAACAGCTCTGCCCAACATGACATGATCTATTTCAGCATCTATTTTGCTTCAAACAGGGATGCCCTCCACTCACTTACTCAGAGCTCTGAAACCCCACTCAGTTGGAATAGGGGACTATGTGGAAATGAGCATATTTGATTAACTGAAAAATTTTCCTTACCAGCAATCACACCAGCTCACAAGAGCCAACTGTTAAATTTTCAGGAATCTTGTGAACCAGTTGTTCAACATAGTTATTACTAAGAAATTAAATCATATAAACCTGCAATGAATTAATTCACATCTAAAACAAATTTAGAGATTACCTCATCACTTCCAAACTATTTTGCCACATTTTACTTCTACCTCTGCTCTTGAGATTATTTCTATTAAATTTGCACGGTAGAAATACTATATGGTGGGGCTACTGAGCGTCTCGCCCCAGATCCATTTAGTGAAGTTGTGCTGGTGGCTTAAAATCTGAAACTATCAAACAACATTCATGTTGGACTACACTTGTGAGTTAATTGAAACCATAGGTTGGCTATGGATATGACATTTTGATAAACTTTAACAAAAGTTTTGTGAGAATCAATTGGCTATATAGAATTTATAATAAAGGCTATTGTATATCTTGTTCTTATTTGCAAGTTGTGTTTTATACATTATGTTTATGAGTAAAATTTTAAAGAAACATATACATACATAATCATTTTTAAGCCAGTTTTTAAGCACTCATAGATATATTACTACTGTACCATACGATTTGGACTAAATGTTTGTGTACTCTCAAATTTATATGTTGAAGCTCTGTGGTGATGTATTTGGAGGTGGGGCATTTAGAAGTTAATTAGGTCATAGGGTTGAGCCCTCAAGGATGGCATTAGAATTCTTAAAAAAATAAGTAAGCTAACACTGTCTCTCTGCTCTCTACTGGGTGGCAATATAACAAGGAGAAAGCCATCTGCAAACCAGGAAGGGGACCCACATCAAACGCCAGATCTGCTGGCACCTTGATCTTGGACTTCTCAGTCTCCAGAAATGTAAGATAAATGTTTCTTGTGCAAGCCACCCAGTCTACAGCAGTTTGTTAGAGCTGCTCGAACTAAGTACACAGCAATGTTTAAAGAATTTGATTGAAAGAGTGAAGGAACAAATGTAAATATATAGTTAAGTCTAAATTGGTCTCTCTTACAGTGGAAAGTGATCTAAGCCAATGTACCTTTGTGTAAATTTAATCAATTTGTTTTCATCCTTCTGGTCTTTGTAAGTTTCAACTGAAAAGAAGATAATACCATCCATCACATAGAAATGTGCTATGGGAATTAATGACAGAACTGTAGCTGCTGTTGATGGTAATAACTACCATTATTATTATTGAGCTCAATAATAATGAAACATCTAAGTGTTTTCTTTGTATTTTGGGGTTAAGTGTGTACTACATTTTATTTTCCTTAACATATTTATAGACTGTTTTTATAGCCTTTACATACATGTCCTATGTAAAGTCATAAATTACGTGGTTTTGTTTTAGAGTTAACTCTGTTAAAGTGCCCTGCATGTCTGCAAAATGATAGATTTATTTCTTCTGTTCCTTTACTAGTAAATGCTACTGTTTCTAACAAGAAAATAGGACAGTTTCTGGAATGGGTTTGGAGCTGGTTTTTAAATTAATTACTGGGTTAATTCTTTGACTCTTTGGGTTCCTGAAGTGCCAGTAAGATATGAAGAATGTTCTGGAATCCAATGACACAGATTCATGAGAAGAGAGCATGAGGCAAATTCTCTTGGAAACAGTCTAGTCTTTTTATAGGCGTTCACCAAGACCATCAATGGGTCTAACTCAGTGTGAAAATCACCTGCAAGCTTACTGTAAGTAATTTGTTATATGGAAAGTACTCAGAGGTCAGGAATGGCTTACTTAAAAATACAAATTAAAGGGAATTTGGGGTCATCCTTGTAATTTGTGCCATGCTCACTCATGTTCCATTGTGCCTTTTAAATGAAGCAGAGAGGGGTGAAATTGCAGCTTGTGCCCCAGGAATTCCATGGGTGCAAACTGGAGAAGTAAACATAATCCATCTTGTGCTTGCAGTAGAGAAAGAGAAAGGTTTGAGAGCTGCTGAATCAAGTGAAAGGCGGAAGATACCACAATGTTTTCAGCAAGCAATCCCACGTTAAATCCCACCTGGGTGTCTTTCCAGCTCAGGAGGTTTGGCAGTTTACTTGACTTCCTGAACATCAGTAAATGGAAACTATGAGTCTTGCCTCAAAGGTTTTGTGGGAAGATTAGAAGGAATAAGGAACACAGAGCCTTGTGTCTTACAAGTAGCAATAGCCCACCAGGCCCTGCTTCAAGGGGGACTTGTTGCCCTGCAGCAACTAATAGTCCAAACCTTGGCAGTGTTGGTATTTTGGACCAGATCACTCTTTGTGGTGGACAGCTGCCTTGTGTGTTGTTAGATGTTTAGCAGCATCACTGGACTCTATTCACTTGATTCTAGCAGCATTCCCCCAGTTGTGACAATTGAAAATATTCCCAGACATTGTCAAATGTCCCTTATGAGGCAAAATCACCCCTGGTTGAGGACAACTGCTCTAGAATATGGGGCCTGGACCCCAGCAGTGATGTCAGCAGGTAGCCTTCACCTATCAACCTTTTCCTCAGATGCAGACAGCCGCTTCACTCAGCACCATGCCTTCCCCAGGGCAGTCCAGATCTGATAACTAATCGATGCAGAGCATAAAGGTCTTGATTATTTTGGCTTAATTTAGTGCAACACTGAAGGGGGTCAGGGAAACAGCTCCCCATGAGTTCAGTGGGGTAGCAGGGCTGCATTGCAGTTCATCTTTCCTTCTTCCCATTCCTACTTACTCCCCCTCTCTTCTACAAGTGTTGATCTCTGGGGCACATCTAAATTAATATCCTGCACCCTAAACTCCACCCCAGAGTCTGCTTCCTGGTGAACTGATCTGACTTGACTTCCTTCTGCCCCCATTTAGGCCCAGTTACGTGAGGCTTTCTCTCATCAGATCTAGCAGAAGAGAGAATGCCCTAAACAGCTGATGGCAGCTTTCATTTCCTCAGCTCCCAGCAATGTCTTGGAATCAATCATACAACTTAGTAATTGAGTCAGAATGTACCAACTGCCTTGTCTGTTTTAACAAGGAAAAAGAGCTTCATCTGAAAATGACATTGTTGCCTTGAATGTGAAGGCAGACGGTTGTGTAATGGAGGATGACTTTGGTAACTTTATTGCATTAATTTAAACAAAAAGGCAATGATAAAGCAGATATGAAATGCAACATCATGGAAAAAATCATTTTATGTAAAACAACTTTGCATATAATTCATGCAAAGTAAATCTCCTCCATTAATCACTTTTTATTGAGAGAGACAGATGAGAAAGAAAGAGTGAACAAGTAAACTCAACTGCTGGATTTTACAGCCCAGAGCCAGTGTTCTTTGCCATAATAAATTTCTAATGGAGCCACTAGTCAATTGAGTAGCATGGGATTTGTTTATTTCAAAGTCATATTTAATATCAACACCTCCCACAAAAATTCTCTCCAGTGGAAGAATGATAAATTGTACCAATTAGCCTGGTTCGTTTTAAGTGCAAATACACAACAGTCACCTGTATAACTTGGGGAATGACATCACCAGCCCGATTTGTAAGGCTCGAGATTCTTCATCCAGCAAGCCCCAGGAGCAAGAAGTCTCCATGCTAATCAGCTCTGAGCATTTAGCCATCAGAAACTTGCCTCATAGCCCTTGACTTTCAGACAGTTTTTCTCGAAATCAGCATGCAGTTGCTCTCTTGGGGAAAAACTATCATTTGACTTGGAGAGTGAGATAGGATTTTTCTTTTGTGAAATTATAGATTGGGCCACCACCTGGAAAATACTTCTGTTGGTTTTAAGAACATTTGTTGAAACACTGACATCCTTAAGGTGCGGACTCTGCATACCACCCTTCTGAATGTCTGATTCCACTTCTTACATTTCTTCCTGAGTAATTTGAGGACCAGGAACGAAATACCACTCAACCTTCTTTGTCTTGCAAAAACAGTGCCTCAAAACCAAAGCAATAAACCCTAAATTAACATCATAACCATCACTTGCTTTTCCTTGACCCTTGATTCTTGGTCCATGTACTCCTGCAAAATGAGAATGTCTTTCTCTCTCCCTTACATGCATTCATTGCCATCTACCTATTGTTTAAGCAGCAGCCTTGCACTCTGAGTAGGACTGACTCCACCTTCTGCTCCACAGGAAGATGTTGCTTGATCTAAGAAAGCAGCACTCACACCCCGTAGCCACAAGTATAGTGAGATGAAGAGTTTGGTCATCACTGACCTGTTGGTGTAAATTAACTGTAAACTCTCCCAGTCTCAAGAATCTTTCAGTTCCTGAGCCAACACTTTTCTTATTTAGTCCATGTCAGTTAGATATTTCCATTATTTGCAAGCAAAAGTATGCTACATGGTATACCTTCTAATTAAATGCTTTTAATTACATATCACATTTTACTGAATTGAGAAATCTGTTGATTTTAAGAAGCACCATTATTTTGTTGTACATTGTGTACCACTAAGAAAGAATCTCTATAAGTTAAAACAACACGTTTTCTTATCATTAAAATGTTTATTGTACACTTAGTGAAATTGATATTTGGGTTTATTTAGATAATTTCTTAAATCACATCTTGCTCTGGAGCATAATAAAAAAGGAGATGAATTGATTAAGTTTTCCCGAAACCTCCTCACTTTCAGAGCCTAGTACTTCTGAATCACTTTTCAAAAGTCATAGAAAAGAGTTTCCCACAGTTTTACCTTTGTGCCCTCCAAAATGGTTGTACTGACCCAGTCCTCTGCAGGTGCTCCACTCTTGGACATTTCTCCCGAGCCTCTAACCCTGTCTCTGAAAGTTTTGAAGCCGGCTCCTTCCCTGGCTGCCAGAACAGGTTTCCAGATGAGCCAG